GCCCGGGAGCGCTTGGTGGGTAGAAGTGATAGGTGAGGGAAGGGCGACGCTTCCAGTGTGGGGAATCTACAGATAATATATATATATATATACACACGTATTCCGCACACTCGGTAGGACTCTGTAAATCTGTTCCATGAGTCTTGCTCGAGCCGTTCCATTGTCCGACTTGGCACACGGTCGTGACCCGGACCATGGGACCGTGGGGACGCGGTTGAACCGACAGTCTTCGGCCTCGCTTTCCACCACGGATCTTGGTCAGCCTGGCTGCGCGCAGGAAGGCGTCACAAGAAAACGGAGAACATAGAATGGCCGTCGCAAATGTCACAGTGAGACCTCAAATCGATAGAACCATATTTCATTTCTATTTCAACTGCACCCCCCCTGAGTAATCGTCTCATACCGATGATAGTCCCAAGCGACAGTCCCTAACATCCAACGTAACCCGTTCTGCCACGGAGCTGTTCTTCAGCGACCCTGAGCAATTCGTCGGGCTTCTCCTTGTTGTGGCGGAGACCAGGTGAACTAATGGACCAGTCACCCTCCCCCCCAAGAGGGGCGCCATAAAATCAGAGTCACCAGTGAAAGGCGCATGCATGAGGGTTCTTCTAGACATGGTGCTTTGGACATTGAGAGGCTGGGTGTCAGTTGAACCCAAGTTCGTTCGAGATCCCCGACTCTGTTTGGGAATCGGTTTGTTGAATCAGCGTCCGGCCAACAAGATGTGTTTGAAGGACAGAAACTGATGTCTTTTTGGCCGATGACGTTCGTGGGGGGAAACACCTCCAGTGGAGCTGAGCGACTACTATGTTCTGCTCCAATCGCAGCCACAAAGGCTGCTGAGTCCCATTCAAGTTCTTCGCCGGATACACCTCAAAACGCAAGGTTTGCAGAGCCAAAACAAAGGGTTCCGGTCCCGGCCCGGGGGTGGGGCAAATCTCCACACTGCAAGCCTTACATACATTATTAAAGTGCACCGAAATATGATGGCATTAGTGTGTTTTTGGCCTCCAAGCGTCTCAAGGATCTCCATTTTTGGGGCCATGTACGATAATAACATCTTCTACAGGTGGGTCGAATGGACGGCCCGTCGATCCCGTCGATTCGTTCGCGGGATACGCCGCTGTTCTAAAAAAGTACGCGGGCAAATGAGCGTGGCAAGGTCGGCCACATACGGTTCCAGTCGGCCAAATCCGCCTTGTTGTGGCCAACTGCTTTGAGAATATCCTTGGCTCGGAGGCTGGAGGCTTGAAAGACGTTGGATACTTTTGGCCCGGAGGCTTTGCTCGGAGGGGCCTGTGGCGCTCGCGCGCACGTGGCAGGACAAGGCTCCACGGCTCCCTCTCTAGGAATATAGTTGTGGGAGAGGTGCAACCTCAAGGAAGGCAAAGCATTGCAAATCTGCACGGAGCATGGTTGTACAACTGTTTGGTTTCAGAAGCATGGGTCATCCAGAATTCTCAATGCACGGCGCATTCATGAATCTAAGTCTTCTCCATGAATTCAGCAAGGGCACTCAACGGCTGGAACCGGTGTAATTGTCAGCCAATCCATCATCGAACTGGCAAATGCTCGGCCCAAATGGTTTTTGAAGAGCTTGACAATTCGCACTGCCTCAAGGGAGTGTCTTGAAAAGGACAACGATCGGGTGAAGGACCGGTGAAGGATGGCGAACAATGCTTCTCCTCCCGAAAACGTCGCAGCATGTCACAGCATGTTTAGGTGCAGCTTGCAGGTGCAATCTTGTGCGTGAAAAGGACTCGGAGGAGCGCACGGCCACCCAAATCACCAATCATGTTGGCTGAGAAGTTGGCCTCCCGACCTGCAGAAACTGCCAATGCTGCTCACCGATGTCAAGATGACACTGTACATGTTCCATCTTCGGACTCCTCAAATCTGGCAAACATTTCTTTTTAACGGCAAAGCTTTCGAGAGGAATTGTGTGGTATTTTGACCCAAATCCCAAACTCAACTATTGATCCAACAGTCCGGAATTGCATAGTGATAAAGTTGGCAACCCCCTCAACGCGCACATAATTCGCTATCAAATCATATATATCTGGGCACGGACGGGGGACACGAAGCCTTCAGATCGGACACACCCGCAAGTCCAAGGTTCCCAGAGTCCCTATCTTTCGACCCTGTCCAAAGAACAGATCACCTGAGACCACCAAGCAGCTGCGCTAGTTTCTGAAGACGGTTCTTCTATGTTCTTCCAAATGATGGATCCGAAGGTCCGAAGACCAGGACTCTTGGCTCAAATCCCCTGGTTCCTCAAAACCCCGAACCAGGAGCCGAGAGTCCCAGCGAGTTCGGGGGGTCGGCGGTCGGCCCTCGATCCACCCGTCCCAGTGGCAAAGGAGAAAGCCGTCGGTTTCACGCCGCAAGCGCTTGTTGCGGACGAAATCCTCCAAGCAATCATCCATCCAACAGCCTTGGACATCTTGGATGGTTGGCCAGGCATCGTGGGGTGGTGTATAGCATCAAGTTCGGTGAACACTTTGATTTCTGAGATGTTCTAATCAGAACCTGCACGGGTTGGGCAAGGGTCTGTATTGGTGTGTTGACCCTGCGAGTGCTGGATGATGGGCTGTTCAACAAAGACCCTAGCGGAAGGCGGAATTCTGCAACTGCTACCACACCATGGGCTTCAATGTAGGTATACCAGCACCCCACAACAAAGGTCTCCGTTTCCGGTGGCTGAAATGGAGACTTCACAGTGGCAGGTGGGTTTTCTGTGAAGTCGGAGTATATGTATACTGTATATTATACTATAGTTATTGCTATTATTACTATTACCCATTTATTGCTATTATAAGATTTATAAGTCGGAGTGTTTGAGTGTCACTGCTTGGATCGGGTATAATGATTGCTTCCTTCCACCTCTCTAAAAGGTAAGGAGGTGGGCTGCGGTTTTCGAGGTCTCGGTTCGCTTGGCGTTCGCTTGGCGACCCGGAGAGGTTCTTCTTGTTGAGTGCTTTTTACTACCGGACCATCCGAATGGGTGCCCAATGGAAGCGGCCCGGTGTTTGGTTGGGGACTCTGGATGGTGCAGGTAGGGTTCAGGTATGTTTTGCTCCCCTTTCGGCGCCTGGCTGAGGCTTGTATGAAGAGGCCCTTGAAGACTATAACCAGTCGATTGAGCATGACGGGAGCTATGCAGGTGGATGAGGTATACAAAATCGGCTGGATGGAAGTTTGGGTTTATGATGGTTTAGCAGCTTTATGTGCTTTATGTGCTCTCTGCAGCCATGTGCATCTTTGGCTTGAGCGATTGGGGCAAAAGGGTGAAAAAGCAGGGAACCAATCTCTGGAAGCGTTTCTGAAAGCTCTGTGTCCGAATCAACTCTTGTAGCTCCTTTGGTTCAGAACCGGACTCAGCACCCGCCTGCGAGCGCCCCATTGTTCACTTTGATCTGATCTTCCTTCCTTTTTTGAAGTCTCGCTGGCATGAATGCGCCAAAAAATGTAGGCTTGACAATCTGGTCAGTTCGCAAAAGCGAGGGTTCTCTTGTGTTCCTTGCAGTTGAGGTATTGCCACATAGGCAAGGTCAGTGTTGTTGTCTGTTTTTTCACCTGTTCGTTCGCCCCACACGATTGGCACACCCCTTGACGGTCGACCAGTGCGGACTCGACCGGACTCGCGCCACGGCGCGTGGCCATAACAAGTATGATTTCGATCCCATGTGCGTGAAGAACTGCAAGCATTGCCAAACATCCAAGCCCCCGTTGGATTATCTCCAAGCGACACCACTTTTCCACACCTGCATCGTCCAGATTTCGGGATTGCATGCCAATGCAAAGCTGTCCACTGGACACCTCTGGCAGAAAGGCTTCACTCACCCACACTCTCTTGGGTTTTATGGTGAGCGCTTCCCATTTTCTGATGTGGCATGCTTGGGGAAATGAAAAGAACACAGGAGAACCATTCTCAGTCCTAAGGGCTGTGGCTGTGGGTCCATGATGTCTGGAATGCCTGGCTTGAACATTTAAAGTGTTTGAAACTGAGAGCTCAATGCTTGCCAGGGTGCAGTGAGACACCCTTCAAATTCCGATCTGCCGATCTGCTTCCTTGGCGCGGAGAAGGACCCTCCAAGAATCAACAATTATTTCTCTTGAAGGACTGTTGTTTCAAACATTGTGTCACATTTCGCACACTTATGTATGTATAGCATTGTGTAACCGTGTAACCATCGTATCCAGGGCGGCCGCTGCGAAAGTCTTGTGGGCAGGGGTTGTCCATGACATTCCGATGCCATCACACATTCAGGCTTTCTCTTCTGCCCGAGCTTCTCAGCCATGGTCAGATCGCTGAAGTACGGTGGGCCTGGAAGAGACAACGTGCACAGTCCACTGCAGAACATCAAGGAGTTCAAACGAGAACGCCCCTCGTGCTGCGTTTGACCATTTGACAATGCTATGCAGCTTCGGATGTGTTTGTTGCACTATGCACTATGGCAAAATCAGTTCCGAAATGCACTATGGATCACTATGGTATGCACCGAACGGATGTTTGACAACGCTATGCAGTTCTGTTCCCTCGCTCCCGCATGATCCCGGCAGAGTCCGTGCGGGGTCGTTCCCGTCCTGAGCGTATCCTGAAGGCATTTAGCTCATGAAGAGCAGGAGTGGACGAGAACCCTACTGGCAGCCCGGTGCGGGCAAGCGGAGTTCTGGTTCTATGTGCTGTTTTTTTTTGGGGGGGCCTCTGGAGCAATAAGGAGGTGTTTGGCTCATGAGTCCATGAGGCTGAAATCGGGCCAACAGGAAGAATGTGTTGATCTGGTCTCATCTGCTCTAAGTCTGCCACCGCTTCAGGTCTTTCAACGGTGGAAAGAAACACAGTGAGACTGCATGACTCACCTGCTGTGATGCTGCATGACTCACCCAGGCTGCAAAACTGCGGGACAGCAAGCACTGCCAACTTCAATCTGCTTGTCACATTTCCGTCACACAGCGGTCAGTGCAGGCTGAGGGCCAAGGGCGGCCGAGGGCATGGCTGGTCCCAATAGTTAGCGTCCTGGCACAGCTGAGGAGACACTCGTGCCGCTGAAGGCCCTCCAGACTCTGGACCTCTTTGTGCAGCTCCAGTCCTTGGTGCCCTCATCCAACTCGGTCTTTTCGATGCGAAGACGGAGGAGCAGTTCTTGGCCCATCCTTGGTGGTGAAAACAGGGACAAAAGAGTCAATCATGCACATGGGATACCTTTATTTCAATTATCGCCGTATATCATGTCGAGTCAGGATGCATACCAATTTAACCGCACCACAATCTTTTTTAAACTCTTCCACAAATGAAGCCAATCTAAATCAACACTGAGCGTTGTTATTTTCACCCTAAATGACCGGTTCTTTTCTTTGGATGTCATTTTTGTTCTGATGAGATGTCCTTTCTCTTGCTGCTTCTTTTGGCAATTGAAGGAAGCAATCTTTCAAAAACATCTCTAAAGTTCAGACCAACCGTTTGACAAACTCACAAAGGGCATTGATACACGACTATGCCCCCTCCTTATATGTTGATCCTTTGTCTCGGGCCGTTCTTGTAGCATTGCATGCCTTTGATTTTGTTTGTCATCTTGTTAGAGGATATTATTTCCGTCTTGTCTCTTCTACTCTCATGTCTCTCCAAACTCCTGAAACTTGTTGACCTTCCACCGTGGCGATGGGGGGCCCCTTACTTTCACTTGCAAGCGGATTGTGGTCCCAACCGGTCTTAGCTAAGTCATCCATTTCCATCAGAATAATTTTCATACGTTTGAGAGAACTTCACCAACCTAAAATTGACACTCCTTGTGTAGTCACCATCATTCGCCTACTATCTCTTACCTCGTGCTTGCTTTTTCTTCCTCCCTACTCTTAGACTTTTCATCACCCGATGGCACACGGCCCCAACAAAACACCATGGACACCGAATCTCCCACCTCAAACCACATTAGGCAGCCCACTCTTGTTGCTGAAATCGAGCTCGGATCTTCGCTCCAAGGGGCGACTCCCAAAGCTTGGTCAGGAGCACCTTGTTGGGTCCTCGGCGTAGATTAAAGAGTTGATCCCGAAGCCTCGCCGCGGGACGCGGACGTAGATTCACGCGCGAGGCGAGGCTAAAGGAAGGTGTGCAAGGAACCGTTGGAAGGATCGTTGGGCGATGTCTGCTGGTATCGGTATAGCATTGAGAGCCCAAGTGTATAATAGTATATAGATATATATATATGTATATATACTGTATATATATATATACATTAGATATATAATAGACCCGTTGGGAACCACATGGAGCCCCCAGCTGGAATTGTGTCATGAACATCCTCGAGCAGAACTTAGAATCATCTCTGTTGGAAGGCACGGTGTCATTCTGCGCATGAAGACGTGCCAATGCTGCAATATTCTGTCATGGTCCCATTCCGGGAAGTACAAAGCTGGTACTGTAACATGAATTTAACTGATTTGAGTACTGCAATCAACAACATATTCATGCACCCGTTACCAATTCGTGCAAGTTTCCACGATTTTGCAATTTGTAATCCTTTGGTTTGACATGTTGGCATCAGCGCAATTCACACGCAAGTGGCAAGTGCATCTATTTTCCCTCCGTCAGCAGCCAGCGTTGAGTCCCACAGGCTCTCTAACCAATCAATTCCAAATGATTTCCAGCGCGCTGTGGTCGGAAACTTGCCTGAGCATGTGCGGGGAAACTGCAGAAACTCTCAAAATATCTTGCCATCGTATCCCAACATGTCCCAAGGACATGTCTCTGATCATCCCTCACCAAACACGATGCCGGAAACAAATCCAAGCCACTGATATTTGTATAGCTTGCGATGCTCAGCTGAAGCAGGCATGTGGTCAACTCGTGCGTGAGAACAAGGTTTGTCCTTGGTAACTCCGAATGCGAAGGGCAGCTGAGGGAGTCAATTGGAGGACCTCCCAGGTATGATGCGGGCTGAAATGAGTTTACGTCACGGCTTTCATCCTAACTTGCTTCATCTGTAGGCTTGAAACATCTTGAATCATCGCTAAGATCGGAGGCACCTTGCGACCCATGAATGATTCACCAAGCCACAGAAAAGACATGATCGATGACACGGGGATGACCTTGTGATCCGGGCTTGGTGAGCAACGTTTCCAAGGGTTTGCCCGTTGTCTCGTCGACCTGAGGATGGCATGTCCCTTTGCAGGACGCCATGAAAAAGAACGAATTGGTGCTTGCAGCCATCCCTGAATGCAATAATGTAAATCATACCATATAAAGAACATATTAATATTCTCCACCAGGGAATCGTCCGAAAAATCCACAACTTAGCAAGCTAAGCTGCGCATGCAAATGTTGGAGGGGACTTGGGATAGACATCCACCAGCTTCAAGCGGCGAAGCCTCAAGCACGTGTGGCGCGTGCGGCGAAGCACTCAGCGAGTGCTGAAAGTGCCGGCAGCTGCCAAGTGGCGCATCCTCTCGAAAGCGAGTGAAAGCAAGAGAATCCTGAGGGCAAGCAAATACTTTGCATTATATTGCGTTATAACTTGCGTTATATATGCACACATACATAATATATATATATATATTTATACACATGCACACACACACACACGTTTGGAATGATGCTCCAACCATTTCCAACCCATGCTTCATGATCATGCATGCTCGCAGCCAATTGATTTAAGGATCCTTGCTCACGTTGAAGTCGCCGCAGAAGATTCCTGAGCACACGCCAAACATGCGGTTCAGCCAGTTGGCACCGTGGTGTGGAGTTGGGCCTCCCCAAAGTTTTCCCTTCAAAGGCAAAGTACAATATGGATCAATAATGATCAATATGGGTGTGCATGAAAATAGGGAGACCTCCCAGTTCGACTGCTTGGAAGAAGGGACATAGATCTGGCTATACCCATCTGTTCGACACCGAGACCATGATGCCTGTGTACTTCAAGACCTTGAAGGGGCGCAAGAGAAGGGGTGGTTCGAGCTATCTCCTACGTGATCAGAGTGTGAGGGCGGATTCAGCACGAGCTGATATGTCGACCCAGTTGAGATGTTTTGTACAGTTTTTTAAGTGGCTGGCGCAGCTTTTTCAGTACGATACCTTTTCGTGCTATAGAGGTTCAGTTCAGAAGCTCGGTTACCTGAGCCAAACTACATATTTTCATCAGTCGTTGCAACTTCCCTCACAAGAGCGTGTTTCACATGCTCTTTTGGATTTCTTTCATAAAGATGCAAAATCCACACATAATTTGAAGCATGTTTGGCGCCCTGTTTAGTCGGTGCCTATGACTCCCAATTGTGTCTAGTGTACGCTCTGCTGACACTGTCACCACCTGCGTGGCAGGTACTAAACTGCAAAGGCCAAAATTAATGATTGGGCCAGGGGGTCTCTTGTTCAAATGCAGACCCATATAGATGGATCAAGTGGGGAACATGGAGGAAGGATGTCCTTTGGCGACCCCTCTAGCAGTTCCCAGTGGCGCTGGTCCGCTCCGCGCGAGAAGGCTTCAAAGCGAAGCAGGGCCTGTGACACCGTGGACGCGGGAAGTCAAAGGGAGCTGGACGCCAGCCATAAGCTACTAGTAACAAGGAGGACGCTTGGAGATCTTCCCAGATCCTGCACTCTTCCCCTGAAGCGGACCGTGGAACACCACCCAGTAGTGGACCTTGGGAGTGCGGCCCGGTTAGATCCAGCTGTATAGGATAAAATCATATAATGATATACATAATTCAACAAGAAGCTACGAACGGAGGAAAGGGCATCGCTACTAGGAGCGATCGGACGCTACGAACGGGGCTCCTGGCATCGCTACTAGGAGCATTGTGTGACTACTAGTAACAAGAAGCTACTAGAAACAAGTGCCACGCTAGTAGTAACAGGTGCCTTACTAGTAGTAACAAGAAGCTACTAGTATTTTCTTGTTTTCAATCGGGTGGCTTCTTCACCCGTCCCAGGTCGCCTCAAGGAGCTGGTCCAAGCCCACGGGGTTCACGGCGGAGGCCTTGTTTTGGGACACGCCCACGCCCGTCTCAAGGACTTCCAGGCCTCCGCCGGGGGTCGGTTCCAACCGTTTGGGGGTTGAACGTTTTCACCCATGGAACGAATGGGGCGCCGGCTCATGGATCGAATGGGGGGCCTAGGCGACCTAGCTAGGGGCTGATCAACGGTCGCTAGAGAACCAGTTGATCCTGTTCAAGGGAGCAATAGGTACCCAAAAATCCGCGTGGTGAGTGTAGTGGGCTCAAGAGTCCAAGGTTGACGCGGTCGGTCTTCAGCCTTCTTGGCTACATGACTTGTCTGAATTGCCAGTGTTTCAGGTAATCGCCTGCTATCCCTGTACTTGGGTGAAGGATGCACAAGCGCATCTCAGCACATGCCAGTACCGCACCCACACACCACGAAGGCCATCAGTAGCACATAGTGACATAGTTGCCCTATGTCAGCCCAAGGTCCAGTGGTGGTCAGAGGTCAAGGTCCCTTTTTTTTTCGCGCAGTGGTGATTCATGGTCGTCCTACCCAGCTGGCCCCCGGCCTGGCCTGCAGTGGTGTGGATATTCAAGACTGAGATGCGCTTGCCTTCGGGACCTTCCAGCTCGACCATGAGAAAGCCACGTTGGATGGCGCTCCACTCGAACCAGGCTTGTCTTGAAAAGGAGGAGTATTCACTCCTCACAGGGCTTAGTAAAACCATGGAACGCATTGGAAAACCATATCATAAAACTGCGCTGCCTGCGCTACATCTTGAACATTCTTGAACCAATCAATCAACTTGTTGCCTCCTCCGGTTCTGTGACACACCAAAACACCGCAGGTCCTGACAATGGGATACTTGGAGAAAACGCCCAATCCAGCCGCAGCAAATGTCGCTGGCCAGTCTGGCCTGAGATCCAAGGCACCCATGGTAAATGCCCTTGTTACTAGTAGTAGTGATGCCCTTGTTCCTGGCAGCTTCTTGTTACTAGTAGCGATGGCCTCCACCTGTAGCTTCTTGTTCCTAGCATGAGGTAAAAATGAGTCCAACGGTTTCAATTAACACTCCTTAGCCTTAGCCATCCTCAGCCTTCTTTATTGCATTCTCCCGATCATCGATTGTGGCCTACATGTTGAACAATTGTTTATATAAGCAAAAGGCACGTCATTTTTATATCTGGTGCATGTGAACCCCCAAGCCAGTCAAGTCGAACAAAGAGATGGAACCCACCTCCGGCTTTTTCATCGGCCGAGTGACCATCTCCCGCTCGAGGCGAAATGTTTGAGACCGCAGCTGCTGGCATGTGCCCGAATGAGGTCAACGAAGGAATCAATGCCCCAAAAAACGGTGAGCCTGAGGAGGCCGGGTCGCCGACGTCAAATAGCGAAGCCAAGCGTCCTTTGCAAGGAACCAATCAAGGAATTGCAGGCAGGACGCTCTTGAAGGCAAACAACATCCTGAGAGTGGGCAGCTTCAAGCACACAGGCTCACTCGAAAAATGCAACGTCAACTGCATGACAGTTCAAGTTATTCTACTTTTGTAACCCTGTTGGCACACACTACGGTCAAATGAGACAACTGCATCGTATTATTCGGACATTTTGAATGTGCTGTCCATCTATGAGTCTATGCGCTCAGTCGAGTTGTGCGCTACCAAACACAGCAGTGACATGCTGCATGCATGGGTCAAGTGCTGGGAATGCGAACCTGCCGTCGAAACATGCCCGAACATCTTCACAGGTCCCAAGAAGTACCTGGACGGTCCCAAGAAGTTTGGATAAAAAACTACGGGGCGTGGCGGTTGTGGCACTTCGTGGGGCATAAATCATAATAGTTTTGTGATATTTCTGTCAGCAACCCAAGCATCATAGTTGGGTAGCAGCTCAACGAAGCGTTGTATTCGATACTCTTGTGCGTTATGAAGAAATTGAGGTGCCACCAGCTGAAGCACCTGAGGTGTCAGCTTTCGGCTCCACTCAACAAGCTCCACGGTTGTTGCTGCACCGCAGGCTCCGCAGGCAGCCAAGTACTTGGAGTTTCTCTATGGTCGAGGCAAGCCACAATTACAAGTACTTGACCACAGGGGATCATTGCAAGGTAGAGAAACCCCACGCCTCAGGCTTCAGTTTTTGCGGTGATTTCATCAAGCACAATGATTTGGACATTTGGATTTCCCAGTGCATCGGTGGGGCAACACATGCCAGAAATTATCCCATCCCCGATGTCCGGCAGCAGCGGCAACGGACTTGCATGAAGAAGCGCACCTGTCTGGTACACACCCAAACTCAGGGTCAGCTGTCTGGCACACAAGGTTTGGTGAATGCCTGCAATAAGAAGAGACAGAGCATGTGTGAGGTACCAGCAGTTCTTCATGCCAACAAGCAGGTATGCCAACATACCTGAGCAGCAGCACGAGTCGGACCTTTGTATGACCCTCCCCAGCAAAACAGGTGACACATGATTAGGATTGATATCCTTCCCCCCATGTATTTTTACATGTGTGTTGAAGCAACCAGAACTCAGGTAGCCTGGGGCTGCCTTTCTTGATTTGGTCGATCTCTGCATGATTTCATGCGAGTTCCCATGCCAAGTCGCACAAAGCCAACGGGTGAGAAAAGTCAAACCTCGGAATAAAACACTCGCATCTGAAATTCCAAAGGGGAGTCTAGAAGGAGCAACAATGGGTTCAACAATCTTCAGTAGATGTCATGCGCACATAACAAATGCCTGAGCATGTCGGAGTCTAACTTTATGCATACTGAAAAACAGTGCCTGTTCTCCTCTTCGGTGAATGTCCGTGGGAGCATTCCACTACAGTACTACAATTTTTCCACAAACAAAAAGCCTGGAAACAAACTGGGGCAGCGACACTCTCTGCCGCAAAAAGCTCAGACTCAGAACCAGGATTGTTGCAGTGACAAAGCCGAAAATTCCGCACACGACGGTGTGCTTCACACAGCCGCCTCAGCACAAATGAGCAAAATTATCTCGCAGGGATACGCAAGGCCTCGCAAAATCCAACGTGACACTGGGCCTCACATGCGATGCCGCCCAAGATGCTGGCACAAATGGACCCACTGGAGATCATACATAGGTTGGCGACCAGAAGTTTCCTTGGAACTAGGCAGGCGTTAGGCAGTTTGGGCACAGAACGCCGCCCCCACAGCACCAATCTTGCCAGCCAAAGCTCATAGGCAACACAACAGGCTCCACACCAATAGCCGCAGTGATGGAACAAGTGACACGGAATGATCGATTCAGCGATTCATCACTACCACAACATGGCCAAGAACACTAGCCTTTTGCTCTGGAGATGTCTTTGGGACTCTCTCTTTCTCTCTGTCTGGGCCCTCCCATTTCATGTGGACGCATGTGAAACAACATGAAACAACTGCGTTTCATGCAAAGCAACCGAGTGAGCGCAGCTTGTTTCTTGACTTTCTACCGAAAACAACTGAGTTCATTCGTTCTTGCAGCTATGAGGCTGCATCTTATGTCAGTCAAACATAAGCATTGCTACGGAAGTTCCACTGATCTGTTAGCAGCTCATTCTTCGATCTCTTGCACCACACTTGAGCAGTCACTTGGGGCAGGTAGAGGTGTGCACCTTCTACTGCTCATGCCAAACATGCAACTACTAAGCCATTGATGTGGTGGATACCCCAAGGACGCTTCTAGGGGCTCATCGCTACTAGGAGCAAGGACGCTACTAGAGGCTCCTGGCCTTACTACTAGGAACAAGAAGGCTATGTGGTGGATTCTTAGTGATCCTCTTGGGCCATGCCTCAGGTTCGCTGGCACACTTTGAACCCCCGGCAACTCCAGCCTTAAATCACAGGCGGCCATTCTGTTGACATCCGGTTGCACACAATTTTCTTGATTGCAGTAAGGCTCCCGCAGTTTTTCCAAGCGTTGGTAAGGAGTCAAAGCCTCCAGCAAACTCAAACGGAGACTCTCTGGGTAGTAGTTAGGCATCACAAATCATATCAAAGCCCGCAAAGCCAACAGCTCTTCGATCAAAAACCCGTGTCTTGTCCCCTAAGTGGGTTCAGTTCAGTACCAATGGCACACGCACAAAAAACACACACAAGTGTTGAGAAGCCCTTAGGATCCTTTTGGAACGTTCCTCTTTCTCATCATCACCACGTGATGATATGTGTGGCCGCATGGTATTTTTTCTGCATGGGTCGCCCACCTGGTCCTTGAGGATCGGCAGGATCTTTTCCACGAACTTGACGTCTCGGACGGTGAAGAAATCGGCAGGTGATATCTAGTTAGGCTCAGGGCATCGAGCTAGGCAAGGCGCTTGCGGCAAGGCGCGATGAAGAACAGAAGTGTTTTAAGAACTGCTGGGGCATCTGGATCGGTGATCGGATCGACGGCTGATTGGTGGGAGACAGCGTCATGGTTCTGAGTACGGAGCAAGGGGATCCGAGCAAAATTGATCAAACAGGCTTTTGAAAGGCTTGCGACCGTATGCCACCGGAAGGGCAGGAGAAGAGACCAAAAGCCTGCACGAAATGACCTCAACGAAATGATTCCAGAATCTCTTCTAGGAAGGCTTGGACCCTTCCTTTAAGTCTTTTCCGCAGGCCAAGGCTTGGAAGCTTCTTTTCCCGGCACCCGATCTCCATCGAGTTCGACCCTCCGGTGGCACCCTCCGGTGGTCCAAGAGCTTTCACCGCGTCTCGACCCAAAGGTCGGTTAGACCTGAGGCGAAGAACACACCGCGAACAACGGGACACCACCGGGGAATGGGGGATGAGTCTGGGGGGTTCCTGATTTGGGTTCGAGATTGGTACTATTATGTACTATCCCTGGGAGTCAAAGACAAAAAGAAGAATTGTCTTTAGGTGACCCGAAAAGAAATATCCTTTACTATATCTTTACTTCAGTCGGTCCAACTATAGTCTTTGGACTTCTAGGGATATTGCATGATTTGTATTGATTTGTTCTCTGCCCTCAAAATCTATTGAACTCTGAGGGAGTTTTCGTGAGCTCAGGCTCGGACTTGTTAGCACCTCGGGCATGGACTTGTTAGTGTTGGGAGGCGGTGCTCATGCTTATCATGTTTCAGATGAGTCATCCAATTGGATCAATCTATCATCAGCCTATCCAAAATCTTGAACCCCTTCTCATGCGGACCCTGCTCTGCTCGAACCATCTCCAAGCAGTCCGCAGTTCGACTCAGCTCAGAACTGTCCAGGAGCATGGCAGGTGTAAAGCCCTGATCATCCATGACCTGGCAGGTTGGGAACCAATCTCCACAATTCTTCTGGACATTTTGGTCATCCCGAGCGATGCATATGTATCAGCCAATCACTTGCCAAACAGTTGGCAATGTGAGTGGAGCGCAGGCATGTGCATGTGCAATAGGGACTCCAACTTATGCTTAATTTATATTCCCTGTTAATATCACCCCCTGCAGTCGCACCCATGCATCACCCCCCCCAGGCAAAGGGTGATAGAGCTCTCTTTGAGTCCCTCGGTCACCATTTTTCATCCATCTTCAGGCTCCTTTGTTCGCTTCAGCTCCCGTGGCTTTTGACCTCGATCTGTGGGTGGCTTTCATGGCTCGAGCGGCTAGCACAACAGTAGCACACTCAGCCAGGGATCCGGCCATGCGATGCCTGGTCCAACAGCCACTGCTGGAAGTTGGTGCGGTCTTCGATGCTAAGTTGAGCCAGCCTTTCCTTTCCTTGCAAGGCCAAGTTTGGAGTGGCCACCGCAGATTGAAACAACCGTGGACGTTTTAGGCTTCTCAATAGATGGCCTCTGCATCCAAGTCTCTTGCAAAGCCCTTCATCTGAGAGAGCTCTACTGCCAGCGCCTGGCACAGAAGCGCATTGAAGCAAGGTGCTGTAGGGATCCCTGCACCGAAAGGCGTTCATTTGCGTGCCTCACCAAACCATCAACAACTTCCTACATCATAGATTCATCACGACACGAACCATCAATGCAACACAAGCACACACACATACAAGACATGACACAAGTATTCAAAACCCGTCTAAACCAATGCCCAGAACCTTGACACCAGTTAGCAAAGCTCAGCATATAGCTACACAGTAGTCTACACAGTACCCGATCACTGAACACAAACAGCACAACAGCGTCCGGCCTGCCAGCGTCTTTGCTCTTTCTTGATGAAGGCTCGTAGCTGCGCCCGCTCCTCCCGCTCCAACAGAGCAAGAAGGACGGGAACACCGCTCGGATCTTCAAAGAGACCACAGGAATCAATCAACAATGTTTAAAATACATGAGCAAACATCAGTCAATCTTTATCACTATCTAAATACAAATAGGTTCAGGTTCATGATGGTTCATGATCCAACACCACCGGCCACCCCTAGAACACAATCTATGTCTGTGTGCAGCTCGTGTCGAGCCTCAGGTCCCAGGGCTTTGAGCAGCGCCTTTCGATTCTGACCGCAGGAATCGTGCAAAACCTGGGCAGCCCAACAGTGGCCGACACTCTCACAAGCAGCAGCCTAGGGCTAGGTGAGTGGAACACAGTGGAACGATTGAAATTGCTTCGACAAGTCTATCAGTCTATCCTTCCGTCCGTCCGTCCGTCTCTCTCTCTCTCTCTCTCCCTCCCTCCCTCCCTCTTCCTATCCTTTTCATCTCACTCCCTGCCCTCAGTTTAGCCACGTTTAGCCAAAGTAGGGGATCGATGGGTCCAAACTCTGACCCTTGAGGCCCGACTGGTGCGGTGCGGGATAAACATCCTTCCTCGCCGTGGAGCACTGCGCCAGTGGAGCCGCTCGCGCTGCCGTTGCCGCGCCGTCCCCGGGGAGTGGGAGCTCCAAGGACAGCGCAGGAGCTCCACGGACCACTCCGAGGCATCAGGCCGCTGGCGTCGAGCTTTCAGGGTGACCTTAAAGAATTCGGTGATCTTCAAAGAAAAGAATTCTTCAGGTTGATCTTCATTAGGATCTTCAAAGATTTCAAAGTTAAAAGCAAAGAATTTGTCTGTTTCTTTTAATGTTTTCAACTTTTTTTTGGGGGGACTTACTGTGGACCCAAGAAAGAAGCATAAAGGCTTCCATCCTTGTCATCCTGATGTCCCGGTGGAGATCAACACGCCCAATCTGACCCGGGGTGAAAACGCTCGTGTGACGATCCGCTGGCTTAGGCATTCGAAGGCTGCCTGCCCACTGACGTCCGAGGCTATGGGCGCCCGGGTGATCCAGCGATGTTGGAAGTTGGGAGCTGGCGGGTTTGCTGCGTCTCCAGGGTCGGGCTACACATAGGGGACTGGGGCAAGTGTTTCCAACCGATGTTCGACAACACCATTTCCAAACGTTTCCAATAATACTTACTTCCAGTACATGATAGACAAACAACGACAACTACAACATGACCTCAAGCAAGGTCAACCCAATAATCACAAAGACTACCGGAAAATCCCTTTTTGTTAGGGTATTCCTGAGCAGTCAAGGAGCCGAACCTTTGTGAACTGCCAAGCTCTCACGCTCAGTGGGGTCCAATGGCTCTGCCAAAGCCCAAGGATCTCGTCCGGGTGGGACGTAGATCTGCTCCAAAAAGCGGCCAAAGGAGGGCATGTCCAGGCAGCTTCCATCCTGGAATCGAACGAATCGCTGAAAGAAGTGAGACCCGCCGATGCTTTTCGGGTGCTTGATTTGAGACCCCTTTCGCCCAAAAAAGCTAGGCTTTGTGGGGGACCTTTCACATTACGTTGATCCCAGTCCCAGTGAAAGTTGCGAGCCAGGTTATCCATTCTTATTCTTAGCGGGCGAGTTCACAGAACAGGCGCGCACGGGAGCCCCAAGTGGCCCTTTGAACCCCGTCACCGCTGAAGAAAGCTGAGCCGCAGGGTCAGCAGCCCCGAATTTCTGAAGGTGCTCTTGCGCGGGCGACGCCCAGCTGATTTTCAGTATGTAGGAGGGTGTAGGGGTCTGCAATGGCTAATTGAACCCATGCTAGTCAAGTCTTCCAGGTTTCGCTGGTCAAGCCTTCCAGGTAAACATGGCAAATCCTCACAACGAACTGAGATCCCTTCGCCGAGAAATGTCATGGATGTTTCGACTCGGAAGTTCCTCAAAATAAGGAACGAACTTGAATCAGGAACCCATTCAGATCAAAGTGGTGGGCTGGGAGGCGCTGAGTATATATAGAACCTCCATGTATTTATCGAAAGCATGAACTCCCCGGTCACTGTCCCAGTGTAACATGCCAAGTGTCGATGGGCACCCAAACGCTCGAGTCATCCGTGGGTTGCGCTTGTACTCCGGGCGCATGTGGCACGGCAGCCACGGTGATCTTGGCTTCCTCGGAGTACTCCACTCCCCAAAGGTCGCTGGTGCCCGCCACTCGGATCCAGTCCCCTTGCCTGGAGGCGGTGTTTCACAGAACGCACCGCAAAAGAAAAACAAGGTCTCAAAATGTTCCAAACAAATTCTACACCTTTAAACCTTAAACATCATCAATCATAAAACTTCAATTTAGAAGGATATACTACACCTTTAACCTTAAACATCATCAATCATAAAACTTCAATTTAGAAGGATATAACTTATAACTGCCACACGGACCGTCGACCCAACATCAGTGTCTTCATCTATCTCCAGGTTTTGCAATGTTTTGCCACTGCATTGGTGCTTCCTCCTGTTTGCCCCCAGTTTCCGTCTAAAAACGTCTAGCTTTACTGCCACAATCTGCCACCCTGTTCCCACCTCTCAGCTGCAATGAGCACCTCGCCCGGGGAAAACTCCCCAAAGGCTTGGCCATTCGGGCTGGGCTGCTGGCGGCTCTTCACTGGATCCAAGGATCTCACGCGCCAAACCTCCTTGGTTGGGTGGCCCCCCGGTTTGTGTGGTTGGGTGGCCGTTTGTGGTAGGTAGTGATGAAGCCAAAGGTCCAGGAAAAACCATAATTAAAGAAACAAGGATGAAAAAAAGCTCGAACTAAGGTTCAAAAATGGACTCAAAGACTTGGTCTTAGGCGCCCGAACCGCTGACATGTCGTGTCTTTTTTTCTGCAGTGATCTGTTCCAGTGCAACACTACATTTTCTTGACATGAACATTTTCGTGTGATGCAACACATCAGGCTTGACGCCGGACTGGATTAGGCTCGAGTCAGCGCCAAGGGTGCATCCTTGTACAACCCCACTGTCTTTAAGGGCTTTTAAGGAAAAACTGATGAACACCGCCATCTTCCCATGCTACTAGGAACAAGTGCATCGCTTCTAGTACCAAGTGCCTTACTAGTAGTAACAAGGTTCGCTATTAGGAACAAGGGCATCGCATCCTCTGGTTCGTTTGTCTTTGTTGCCCGCCCTCTGAGCAGCCCTGCGAGGCCGATCTCTTCAGCCCGTGCTCGTTCCGCTTGTTTGAACCGGTGGTCGGTCTCCAACTGCCGCATGGCCTGGGACATATGGCAGTCATACAATGGCAGTCATAGCGCAAAAGAAGGCAACATGGTAGCCAATGGTCGGCCAATGGTTCCTCTTCCTGGGACAATCTCAGAAGGTCGTTCAGCCTTTTCATCTGGATCTGCTCCAAGTAGGTAGTCCTGCCAAGGCACAAATGCAACATGCAAAGCGACCACAATACCTGGGAAATCTGGGAAGGCAGCTTGGTTGTGATTGTGGTTGCGCTTCTGTTTCTTCTTGTTGTTGATGGTGTTCTTGGTGGTCAGAAGCCTCATGGTCGGAGTTTTGCAAGATCTGAATGCCAAGGATGAGTGAGTTTATTGACTCAGAACCTTGGACTTTCAGCAAGTTTGACACCTGACTCACAGAAGCACCAAGTGTTGCCACAAACATGTTGCCCCTTCCCTCGGACGCTTCGGACGCATTTTTCGCAACAGTCAAGTGTTCACTCACGTTCACCCCACCATGCCCTCCAAACACACTTTGGTCAACTCGGTTTTAGCGATCCACCGTCCTGAAGCGGTTCCAAGTCACCGTCACCGTGGGAAAGCCATGCCCCTGCTGAGAAGGGTTCCTCGCTGTGCTCCTTGGAGTGTGGAGGTTCCAAGTGTTCCACGTTTAGTGGAGACTGAGTGTGCCCAGGGCTCGTGCATAGGGAGCCTTGAGGAAAAGGATCGAACAGGTTTTATATACAATTATATATATAATATATATGTGTGACTATATTAGGGATTGTTATGGTGCACTTGAAAGAGGTGCTCTGGCATATTTGGTTGCGCAGCTCGGTCTCGCGACTGGCGGCTTTTGGCACTAACTGCTTTGCAAGGAGTTGTAGCTTGACTTG